CAGTGAAATCATTGACATCATGACTGTGACCCACACACCTTGTGGGGGAAAACTCAGAGTCAATGCCGGGATAACTCAAACGCTTATGTCGTTAGGTGCACACCCAAATCCGGAGGTGATTCGTCTTGCATGGATGGTACTTCCAGGTTGAAAGTGCTGATGTCTCTCCTTTTCGGACCAGCAGTGAGTTGAGGACTTCAAGAGGGCAATGTGTGCATAGAGCGGCCAAAGCAGGATGTACAGGATATAATAAAGTTCTCGATCTCCAACACAATATGTTTTAGAGGAGATGTGCATCATATTCTTATCAAAGGGAATTTTATGGAAGCATCACCCATCGGGCAAACTTTAGACCGACAAGGCTTTGGACTTGAGTTTCCAAGCAGCGTAGACTATTGCTCGTTATCAACACTCACACTTATACCAGCTAATTTCAACATACATACTATCGTCTTTGTTAAAGTATTGATTCTTCACTAAATCCAAGTAAGAAGCGGATTCAAAAGCTAGGTGCCCGTAAGCCATTGGAGACACCATATTTGAAATCGAGAGCCTAGTGGGGATCTCCAGCAGCGTTTTTTCTATATGCTATAGAAGCTATCCAAACGAAACTTAAATATCAGGAGTCATCTGACTGCTAAAAGTAATATTGTAATACGTATGCTTTTGTAAGAAAACTCGAAGTGGCGAAGTGAAGTAAGCGGAATAGAAACCACTCTTCGTTCTCGTAGCTTACCGATACATACTTAGCCCACACAGGCGAAAGCTCCAACCGACCCTGCAGCTGCCCCTTCAAATACCTGTGCGTGCACTTGTCGTATCCTTTGCCGCAAACGTCCCATCTAACATAACTTATCGTCCTACGCTATTCAGAATGGCTACACAACAGCAGTCGAAGTCTACTGCACCCCCTTCGGACAGCAGCACCAGAGCCATGCTCCTCGTCGCTTCGTCTGCGACCTCTGCATCCACTGCAGTGATAGTTTCGTCTTCGGATTCAGTGCCCGTGGCAACGCTCTCCGCTTTGCACTCAAACGGAAGGCCTCCGATACAAGACTCGTCAGCGTTGGAGATTGCGTATAGCACTATCTCGCCCAAGGTGGAGCAGCCGCAGTATCCAATGCACATCAAACTTAATCTCATTGATCAGAACCCGCTGGCCTCAAGCTTATCGACCAATGGTGACTTGACGTCATGTGAAAGTCCGTACCCGATGACTCCAATCACTCCTGGTGGGTATTCGTCGAGCGGTGGCGATCTGAGCAAGAAGCAGCGCCACAACCTGCGCGAGCAGCGTCGAATTTTACGGATCAGCAACCAATTCGAAATCTTGCGTAACAAGCTTGAGGCCGCAGGATACTCTAGTTCCAAGAAAGACAAGTACAGCGTCTTGCAGGCCACGCTTGAGTATATTTCCAATCTTGAACGCAATCAAATTAACGGTGTAGCGCCTCATCACCAGGTGCAGCATCATCTTCAACATGCATCGTCACACTCACATGGTGTTGTTTCCCATCATCTTCCATCGCCATGCAATGACTCAAACGGACGGTTGTCCATCACGGCACCATCCTCTAGTCATGTTGACAGCAAAGGTCACGTATTTATGATTGACAGTATGCCATCTCCTGTGCCAGCGCTTTCCATACCAGGGATGCAGCCTCAGACCTCGTACCCACTGGAAATGGACAACATGTATGCGAACACCGCAAATGGCACTTCGGCCGCTAATGCTCTCGAAATTGAGGGTTCAGCTGCCTCGTACCGCGACGTATTTGCCAGTAGTAGTATGCCTAGTCTTTTAGCGAAACTGGACGGTACTATTGTTGAAGCAAACGCGCTTTTCTTGGAATTGAGCTGCAAGAATATCGATGAGCTTCGTCTGCATAGCCTTTACACAATGTGCACAGCAATGGATGCGCCTAAGATGTACAATTTGGTGGATAAAATTCTGTCATGTGAAATGGCGTCGGCACAAAGCAAGATGATGTGGCATTTTTCAAGTGCGGGGGATCGAAAGGTGAGAAGTTGCACCGTTGGCTATTCTGATCAAGTTACTAACGAATTTCCTTGCAGGTGTTTGTGTCCGTGTCTATGATTCACGACAGCATGCACCGTCCCGCCAACCTGCACTGTAGTCTCCTACCTCTGTCATGATTCTTCTCGTTGACAGATAGAGTCAATCAAGCGAGGTGAGGTGAGTGTTTCACTCACAAGCCAGGGGATCGCCTATTTTCTGCTATGTGCAGTAGGTTTTAGCGAGATGGGCGTGGGTGTGATGTATGTCGAGGCGAGGTGTGGTGGAGTGAGTATGTCGGATTTTTTAGCAATTGTCCCTCCCACTGCATGTTTAGGCTGTATATCTTTTGCATTGACTGTACCATATTAACTGTAGCGCGAAGATTGTAGCGATCAGGTTTACCAAAGATGAAAGAAGGCAACCACAATTAGCATACATGAAATGCTATTTATGACTCATGGTGTTATTTGAGTGTGTGCAGGTTTCTTAATATTGCTCAATTAACCTACTATAACAAAAAAGCTTATGACGCCTTCTCCACTGTAGTGCTCTCTGGCACGTCGAAAAGATGTATGGTTGCCCGCAGGACTCCTGCAACGGCAAACGATCCAGCACAAGCAAGTAACCATCGCCGTTGCCTGACGTCGTGAGGTCCTAGTTTGGCTCGCTAGATTCGATGCGAAACAATCAGGTCAAAAGTGATGAGGCACAAAGATTGCAACGTACCTCATTAAGAAAGTATGTACCAACACCAAGCAATGTAGCGGACCCAGTGAGGCGGCAGCTTGACAATCATTAACAGTTTTGAAATAATGTGCAGGTTGAAATGAGTAAAAAAATTTACCCGAAGCAGTCTTCCGCTGCCATTGCACAACGCCAAAAAAGAGGTCGGATAGAATGTTGTTGTTGGCGCAACTTCGCAGTTTAGACGATCAATTTTCAATAGTAGATAATTATCAAACTGTGTACGATGTCTTATGAAATTCTGTCTAAAAAGATAATATTATCATCATGTAATAGTTCTAAAAAGAAAATATTGATTTGAGCAAATGTAACGGGATTACACCTACCCTGGTTAATTATACTAGTTATCTTAATTAACTTGTCTTGAAGATTACTTAATATCTTCTAGAGCGTGGAAGATTCGAGTGTGTATGTGTCGAAGTCATCTGAAAACATAAATCTTGGGAAATGTGAATAACATACTAGTCAAAATCGGAGGTATGTGTGGATTTATCCACTCGGTCGTGATGATGTGCGGGAAAGATGCTGTGCCAGTCCTTGGAGCTGGTTTACTCAGAT